ATGCATGATTAGTTTGGATATTGCGTTCAACAGTTATAGACGTGTAAACATGGAGTTCACTAACGCCGAAATTCGCGCTATTTTAAAGTTTTCCTTCGTTAAAGGCAAATACGCTAGAGAAACGTTCTGTGAGATTAATGGTGTTTTAGGGGATGGTACTCTATTACTTCGAACCGCGGAGGAATGTTTTCGACGATTCAGAGCCGGTGAAAACGATACCATGGATAAGCTAGGCGGCGGAAGACCTGTGACGACAAATCATGGAATACATCGAGTTAGACCGGCATATGGCATCTCGTGACATCGCCCAGGAGATGGGAGTTAGTCACCAAACCATTTTGAACCACCTGCAGAAGGCTGGATACAAACAAAAGTTTGATGTTTGGGTGCCGCATAATTTGACGCAAAAAAACCTTCTGGACCGAATCAACGCCTGCGATATGCTGCTGAAACGAAACGAACTCGACCCATTCTTGAAGCGGATGGTGACTGGCGACGAAAAATGGATCACATACGACAATATCAAGCGAAAATGGTCGTAGTTGAAGGCCGGTGAATCGTCCCAAACAGTGGCCAAGCCGGGATTGACGGCCAGGAAGGTTTTGCTGTGTGTTTGGTGGGATTGGAAGGGAATCATCCACTATGAGCTGCTCCCATATGGCCAGACGCTTAATTCTCTAGCCCGGACGTAGCGCCCAGTGATTACCACCTGTTCCTGTCCAAGGCGAATGCCCTTGGTGGCTTCGCAAATAAAGAGGGGGGCTTCTACGAGGAAGGTATTATGAAGTTGCCGTCTAGATGGAAACAGATCATCGAACAAAATGGCGCATATTTTAACTAAATCCGATCACTGTAACACTTTTTATAAAGCATTGAATAAGGAGCGAAAAAGCGGAAGGGAAGGATATTTGACAACCTTATATTTAATATTCTCCCCCACTCGCTTAGACACCAAGTTTAATAAAAAAAAAAGTGCCGGTTTTTCAGATCGGACTGAATAAATAATTATAAATTAATTGGAAGGTACTTTCTAATTCCAAAGAGCAGTCTGCCTTGCCAAACACAATTATTTTTTTGTGAGATAAAGAAGAAAACAATTGTGGGTACAATATTTCTTAAATGCAGAGTATATTTGCATGGCAAGTCTGACAACCTGTTTTGATGCGCTGTGTTTTGGGCAGTTTTTTGATGAAAAGGTTAAAGGGACAATATGATACTACTTTCTCGGCCACTTTATTAAATTAATGGAAATTTATTACTTGGAACACTTTCCTTTGAGCAGAAACGAATTATCTTCCAAGCACTAGTGCGTTGAACAGGTAAATTAAAAAAAAAAAAACTAATACCTTCATGGGGTTAGTGTTTTTATAGGTAACCAGTTATAAGATCGTAGACAGGCTTTATTTTTTTGAAAAACGCTTTTGATTCGGTTTTGGGGGACCGTTGTTTGAGTGGGTCTATTAGATGAATGTGGTTTAGTGTTTCGTTGTAAATTTCTATTATAAATTCGGGTGGTTCTATATTCTGTGGGGTGAATAATAATATTATATATTTAATAAGTAAACCAAGGTCACACCTGTCTAACCATTTTGATAAGTTTGGTGTGGATATAAAATTTTCCTTTGGAGCAGTTCTTTCTTCCTGTGTTGTTATTTTGATAAAAAGCTACGTTTTTGATGTCACTGTATCTACAAATGCATCCATGCATATTTACATATACATATATGTATTAATGAATTCATCAAAAAACCTATATTTATTTATTCAGCGCCAACATAACTGTTTAATAAAACAGCACATGCATATGTATATGTGCGTACGTATGTATACACATACATACATATACAACATGTAAATATTTGGTAATAAAGAAGCGAATTTCTTTTACTTGTTGGCAAATCTACTAGGAGCGCAGGTTAATTTAATAATAAGGATTCAACATTTAATTTTCAAAGTAATCCTTCAGCACCCATAAACGCATACAGAGACAGGAAACACATATACTTACATAAGCAAACATTCACAAAAATGTATATACATATGTATGATATGTGAGTATGGTATATATGCATATAATATATGTATGTGTGTACGATATAAGAGATGTTTGTGTGGACATTTTGTCTTTTTGTCGATGTCGGTTTTTGTTGATTGCTTGTTGCCGAGTGCACTTGAATAGTGAGAGGTGGTACGTACATATATGATACGCTATGTATGTATGTATGCACAAAAATGTTTGCATTTTTAGGAGTGAATTAGGGTGAATTTTATATCCTTTTTTTATCAATAAATAATTTAAAATTAACTAATCAATTTTGGAATGTCTATTCAGAGGGTAGATACCATTACACGGTCAATAATTACGCATTGAAAAACACATTTTTTTACAAAGAAGGTATAATTCAATCATTATATAGCTTTGTACACTTTTTGAAATATAGATGAGGAATGTAAAATTTTTTTTTTAAATTTTATATATATAACTAGAATTTTTGAGTAATTGTAGTTGCCAATTTTAAAAATGTTGTTTTGAGGAAAACGCGCTTAAAGTTTTGGAAGCCTGCTTTGCGCTGAAGAAAAAACATCGATTTTCGATCTGAATTTTTTTGGAGCGTTTTCTACGGGAAATTTCCTAATCTTTGAGAGGAACAAAAAAATCTTTTTTTTTTGACCCTCTAATTAATGCTTAAGTGAGCATTCCTTTTGATAACAAAAATATATTACATTAAATATAAAAACATAATACTTTAAAGTTTCTATTTCAAAAATTATATAAATTATCCACTTAAGACTTGAAATTATGTTTGAAAATTTATTATTTGTTTTTTTTTTCTACATATAAATATTACCCTAATAATTATAAATAAATATGGTGTAATCAATAAGCTAACTATACCCGACACCTCTAAAGACATACATATATATATGAAGTATGTTTGTAGCTAGCAGGGCACAATAATGTTAAGCATTGGGCACTACATGGAATACAGTGGAATAAAGCTAAAGCCTTTGATTTAAGGACTCATGACAAATAAAGCCACGGACCAACATTCATATCCATACATTTGTGTATACATACATACTCGTACGTACATAGTAAACAAAAGCAATAAGCATGGTTCATATTGTACAAGAATAGTATGTAAACATTTATTTGAACAAAATGCTTCGCCGTTGGTGTGACAAGGTTGATCATCACCTCTGTGTAGCAAGAAGCGTGGTGGTGATTTTTTTTTAATTCTACATTGTGAGCATGTACATACATACATACGTAGATATATACAATCAATATACATGAGCAATAATAGGAATACGTCATGTGTATATACTGTATGTAGGTAAGTAAACCCCCTCCCTTTGGACAGTGCGGCAAAGGTTTAAGCCTTAGAGCAATTTGAAAAGCAGGACAAACAAAATATCACCGGCACCGCCAACGTGCAACACAAATACATACATATTTTCAATACCTACATATGTACATATGCTCGCTCTTGCATATATACCTACATATTATTATTTGCTTTTGCTAAACTTAAAACTACAGTTCTGTGCTGGACAAAACAAAAAATGATTTATAAGAAAACATATGTAATTCTGTGACACGAGGATATAGCCGCGGTAGAGAGAGGACCAGCATTATCTACTCTTAAATTTTGCTGTCAGTCAATTTCTAAACATTTATTTGTTGTTAAATTTATACAAAATTTAATATAAACCCCGCCCAATTGCATAGCAAAAAGATCTTTCAAAAATGTGAATACACATAAACGCATACACGTACATACGGCTTTACGTATATTTGTAAATATAATATTATTAAAAAGTAGTAAGATGTGAAAATTTCTTTGCAAAATGTGGGAGGACGCAAAACAAAAGGTGAATTTTAATATTTAATATCAGTAATCAAAGTAGATGGCAAAACTCTCAGCAAACGACAGAGAGACCGACGTGTTAAGGGATGAAATTTGAGTGTTAAAAATTTGAGAAAATAATGTGTACATGTGTGTATTTTTAATAGTTTTTAATCATATTCTATTAAGAAATAATTTATACTCTTATATGAATACACTTCCAGCTAAATAAAAAACAAAAATCTGTCTCGAGTTTATATTTTATTTAAAATTAATTTCCAAATGACAACAAACAGGATACGCCTGCTTTGATTGGCCGTGGTGAGTTTGTTCTTTCTCACACTAACACAACAATCATTGAAATTTCGTTTTTGTGCTCGTTAAGCCGACAATTCAATGCGCTCGAAAGGACTACCACCCCAACTGTTATCCACCCACCACCACTTTTGTATGCACGGAAAAGCGTAGCAGGAAGAACAAACGTATGGAAACGATTTTTTTTAAATAATTTTGTACCAAATATACCTTTGTACTTATGTTTGTGTTGTGCTTATTTAAGTTCAGTATCAAAAGATACTGCTATATTGGCAAAGGACTCTTTTATGGTGAAGTTAGCTTCTGAACATCCTCAATATTGAGTATATACCAACAATCGAATTGGAGAGTATGAACAAGTATATTATGGAACAGGAGCGCATATTGCACACGAATAAATATGTGCGGTGTATGAAAAAGAGGAGCAAATAAGTAGAATGAATTTTTGTGTGTACCTACCGGAGACGATTTTCGGTTTTTAGGAAAAAGCAATAGTGCACAGCCCCAGCTTTTTATTACTATGCATTATGTAGCTATGCCCAAAAATATCGTTGATAATCCAGTTATATGATCCCAGAATTTGTTCCCATAAAAATTCAAAGTGCAATATGGAAATCACTGAAGAGTTGAAAGCACAAAGCAGATACTAGGTACACTACTTCAGGGCGGCGCTCGTTAACTGTAGCAAAAAAAATTTCGACCGTATATTAATACTGGCGAAAGCACTTTTGCCGGCACAGTAGTATATAAATATTGTAAATTATATTTTTTACACACTTTTGCACAATGATTTATTTATTATTGAATATTTACTAACATATATTTGTGTGGTAATTAATCGGTATACACTAAAATTTTCACTTGGCGACTTTGTTCATCAGCCGATGGTTAACTTTGAAACAGATTGGCTTGATGCTCTTTTTTCATATCAACATACTATCTAATGATAAAATATTAAAAATTCACTGAAATTCACTTCATATATTTTAAATATTTCTAATTAAATCCAATTTTTCACTGGCTCTCGATTTTACTCCGATATAACTTCGTTTGAGCAACTATTTTTCATCGCCATCTGTCTGCTGCGTGAACCAGGGTGTCTGAGCTTTTATTTTTCATTTTACAATATGTGTTGCCAGAAGGAGGAAAACTTTTTGTAAAGATGTGGCATTAAGTAAATAGATGGCGCTGCTGTAATGACACTAAAATTGCTGCCGCTTTTTTCTTTATAATTACATTTTATAAGATAAATCATACAGATTTCACAAATACTTCTTCCAATTTTCTACAGTATTACAATGTTACCTAATTAATTAATAATCATTTTCAATGCAACTTAATTATGCAATTAAGTTCTTTACAAACATCAATGAATTAACAGCACTGCCCGCATCGATTAATATTTGCACCCAGTATATTGTGTTGTTGCGGAAATCTCAGCTGTTTGGATCTTACCAGCTGATATTGGAAGATCGTGGTGTGTGGAGTAATTATTCTTTCCTAATCCTGATATTATGTATTAAATTTGAAAATATGTTGATTAATACACGGAAAGTTTGCCTACTGCTAAGTCGGCAGTATACTACTAAAGCCAAGCGTAGCCTTTTAATGCAGGATAAATCAAAGATTTTAAGTATGTAAATGAGGTTCTTAACTATAAGGAGTGCTTAATATTGTATTATTATGTTCTACAGCGTATACGCCTAAAGTGTCAGACCCCAAAAAGCGGCGAGTGTATGCTTGGGGGTTTCAAGAAACAGGAGCATTAGGACTCCAAACTAATATTAAAAAATCAAAAGAACGGTATACAGAAATGGTGCATCACCCAACCCGTATGCAATTTTCTGTAAATACAGATATATCAGACATTGCCGCCGGTTATGGATTTTCCGCTTTCGCTGTTGAAAGATCAGATGGTCAGACTCTATTCGGCTCGGGCTTAAATACTGATTCGCAGTTAGGCTTTCAAGTAAAAGGTACTTTTAAAGACCCAAAAAAATTAGATGTGCTTATATATCCAACGCCAATAAATCTGCCGCGACTAGAACATGAAACTGATGCAGATATGAAAATCCGTTGTATGTCTGCTGGTCGTGCACATTTAGTTGTAGTTACACAAAATGGAACCATATTTTCCATGGGCAACAATTCATACGGTCAGTGTGGACGAGCTATAATCGAAAACGAGGATTATCGCGGAAGCGCGCTTATACATCGTATATATGAAAAAGAAATCTGCGGAGGGAATGATGACATAGTTTCTGTAGTATGCGGACAAGACCACACCATGTTCCTAACTCGTTTAGGTAGCGTATACACTTGTGGTTGGGGTGCAGATGGTCAAACAGGCAAAGGAAATTATGAAACCAATGGCGTAATTGCTCAAGCCAAAGGAGATATCAACGGCGAACATATAGTGAAATTGGCATGCGCTTCTGATTGTGTTTTGGCTATTAACGAGAAAGGAGATGTTTTCGGTTGGGGAAATTCTGAATATGGCCAACTAGATGACAGTGAAAATGCCGAGACTCAAGTCAGTACACCGAGAGCATTAGCGCTAACTAAAGGCATTGGCAAAATTCAAGATATAGCGGCCGGTGGTTCATTTTGTATGGCTTTAAATGAGGAAGGACTTGTATATACTTGGGGTTATGGTATTCTAGGATTTGGTCCTTATGTAGAACAAACATCGAAACCACAACAATTACTGCCACCGCTTTTTGGTCGCAATGACTTCAGCGATCAGACTACTGTAGTCTCGATTGGTTGCGGTGTTTTTCACATGGGTGCAATAAACTCAGATGGTGATCTTTTTATGTGGGGTAAAAATCGATTCGGCCATCTGGGATTAGGCCACAAAAAAGATCAGTTTTTTCCCTTCAAAACAGCCGTGAATGGGAAAGTGATTAAAGTTGCTTTTGGTGTTGATCACACATTAGCATTGTGCAGGCCTTTTATGTAATTATTGGGTAGGGTAGTATATTCTTAATAAATAGTGGTAAATTATGTATTTATAAAGAAAAATAAAATAATTATTTGTTTAAGAAACTTGTTGCTTACAAAATGCGTTTGTTTCCTTTATAAAAACCATTAAGGTTGCGTTCATTTGAGGCCTGTTTTTAATTTAAAATTCTCCTATTAAAAAAAGGCATACAATAAGATTGAAAAGGATTTTATTTTATTAACATTATGTTTTAACATTGAAAAGTAGATGTTTATTGTATCTCTTCATATGCAATTATTAACCGTAAAATTTATTTGAATTGATATTTCCAAAACTCACGGCTGAGCAAGTTCTTTCGTTTTAAAATTTTACTTTTATTGAAAATTGAGAGAGCTCTTGAAATAAACATGCCAACAATTTAACAATAAAGTATACAAAGTAGGAATACAACTGTACTTTCAAATTAATTAAAATGGAACTATTGAATCACAATCGATTTAACAATAATACTTAATATGGTTTACAATCATTTTGAGGAATAAAATATATAAGTATTTTTATGATTAAATAATATGTAATAATGCAGCAACATGTTGTAACCGGTAAATGCGATTTTGTTAATATATGTATAGTAAGTTAAAATTTTGTGTATAAACAGTGCGACGATTATTAAGTTCACAATTAATAAACGTATATTTCGTAGGTACATTTGTACATATATTGTAAGACTCTCCCAATTTTCTTGCAGAATATTGCTGATAGCATTTGTTATTACATATGTATGTCGCACTGCGTGTGCTTTTACATGTATATGTTGAGATATACTATCGTATTTCTAGCACGACTTCAATATTTGTCACAATTAATTTTCGTTTAGGTACACAATTTTCTTATGTACAATAATTGATAATCTTTCGAGTTTCGCAAAATATGCATTTTCCATTTTGTTGTAATTACTATCTTTTCATTTGTTATTATATATGTATATATATATTTTTTGTTTTTCTTTTTTTTTGTTAACCATACTTGATTGCTGAACTTGATGCATTTCTGATTGATATATTAGTTTAAAAATTATATATAAATTTATGCTCAAATTATTAAAATTAAAAAAAGGGGATGTAAAATTTTCAAAAGTTGAAATAATTTAAAAAATTAAATCAATCATAATTTATTAAAAGTCCATATATAAACTGAATATTAAAGTGTATGAAATAAAATCTAATAGGTACAATAATTTTGGACAATTGTAAATTTTCGTTAATCAATTGTAACTTAATACTTCTACAAAATATTAATATGCCAAATATGTAAAATTTGCTAAAAACCGGTAAGTCAAGTTGTGCATTTTCTTAAGAAAATATAGTTTGCTGGTACAAAATTTGGATAAAATTGCAAATTCATCAACATCAAGTTTTACAATCATACAAACTACACTCTACAAAAATGCTTACAAGCACCGAAATCAATGATTAAGATTTTAGTTAAACAAATTTTGAATATTTTGCAGCGTACACTGCATATTTCAATTTGTTTACTGCTGCTTCTTCTCAAATTCTTCTATATCAGCGATATTGATTAAATCGAATTCGACAACACCTTTACCCATAAACTCAGCGAACTTGCCAGAATCTGCCACTGGTTTAGCTTCACGTTTGAATACTGAAAGAGAAAGTGGTAAAATTTAAAATTTCCATACGAACAAATATTTGTATTTTTATTTAAAATGAAAACATGTTATGCAACCAATATACTAACCACCCGAAACGTAGTTTTCTAACATGTAAACTTTCATATCATAACATTCATTAGCGATACGCTCCGAGATCATTGTGAGATCAGTTACAGGCGGTGTTACAACACGCATCTTACGACGAACACGTTCTGCGTCAATGTTGTAGTAGCCAGAGCTCATCTTTTGCATTAAATCAATGAAACTCTTTGGCGGTAATGTAGTTTCCCGATCGAGAGGCATTATGAAACAACGTCTGGTTGTGGTATCAATGATCGCTGATTGATTTTCTTTAAAATCATGCATAAAACGTCCTCGACGTCCATCCTTAAAATCGGGTACATCAATTTTGGCATAACTTTCATTATCGCTCATATCCATTTCGATTTCTTCGCGGAAAAAGTCATCGCCCAAGTAATCGTTGTTGTAGTTTGTGAAACGTGAGAACAGATTGCGCCAATCTAATTCATCATTTTGTTCATATAGACGCGGTACACTTATATTACCAGTCTGCATGTATGGTATGTCGCATAGTGCTCGATAATGTAAATTCGAACTGGTTGGTGGAAATGCACGATATAGGCTATATCCACCAATTAAGCCCATCATCATCACTGTAACAGCCATTAGGAATAATATAACCGTCTTCGTACATGAAGGAGGGCGATTGAATACCATAGATTCTGCATCGTTATCGGCTGGATATGAGGCCCGCTATAGCGAAAGAAATGTGGTGACATTTATATTGATTGTATTAGATTTAAAATTGTCTATTTTGATAGAAAATTGTCTCATTGGTATTATTATGTCTGCTAAGGAAATATATAGGATTAAGTGTTGTGAAAGAAAATTTAAAGAAGAATTTTCAACCAACTATTTTTTTTTTTAGTTTTCATGGAATTCTTTTCGAGCAAATCATTTGTGCGCTTATCTTTATGTGCATATACTTTTATACACGCATGTATGAAGCACAAATTTTTGTGATATGAGGTATTGTGGTTGTACAAAAAGCTGCGAATATGCAACGAACAATGAATAATAAAGTTGAGTAAGAAAAAGTACTAAAGTTCAGTGTAGTAATGGGCTATTTAATTTTTTTTTAAGCTGACTGTAGCAGAATTGAGTATGTGTTATTTGTTTTTTGACAACTAATCACTTTCGTTAAGCTTACATACTAGAACCCTATGTAAGGAGTTGTGAATATTTCTTTATTTTTTTATTTATTTGAAAAAAAAAATGTAATTCGATAATTTGCAAAAACTGAAACGTCACAACTTGATAGTAATATTTTTTGCCTTTTTACTTAGGTCTCTATAATATTTGAAATGATGAACATTAACAAATTCAGCTCTTAGTACAGTTGGTACCTACATACATACATGCATGCATATTAAAAATTATTATTTGCATAATAAATAATGTACTTGTATAAAATCATATAAAATGTGTATTTACAACAATGAATCAGTGTAATCGCTATGAATAAAATATCTGTATCCATTTGTTTGAATACTTTTTTATATAAGATCATGTAAAATTTCTAGTCTGTATAGCCCCCTACATTTTATTGCCCTTACAATGCCCCTACATTTTATTGTTACTTGTGATACCGGATTTTAGTAAAATGCACCAAGGATACTACACAATACAATTTTACATATCTTTCTGAAATCAAAAATCCCTATACAAATACTGGGAGTCGTCCTTTTAAGCCAAAACATATACTGTCAATATATCCTTAAAATACTTAGTTTGTAAGTGTGCTCAGATAAATAAATTCAAAAAAGTAAACTAATATAGTATATTCTTGCTTGGAAAATCAATATCTGTACATAGGGAAAAGGACAACATTGTAAAACATATGCATTTCTGTACTCGCATACATACATATGTGTGTTCGCAGAAGGATACTTGATTGTTTGTGTAGTGAACTATTTCTACTTTATTTGCAATAGTATTTGGACTTATTGTTGTATAATGAAAATAAAAGTGCAAGGTCTAATTCTTGCTTGCTACGTACATACACATATATTCGTATGTACGTTGAATTCAATGCTGGTAACCAATTAGTGAAATTTTCACACCCTTTCAAAGCGTTATTTTTTTTCATTGACCAAAAATCAACATAGGTATTTCTTATTGAATCATTGCACAATCTAATGTTTATAAACTTACGCCCAATAGAGTTCCATGTGCTACTCCTCCTCGGAATGATGCTGCGTCGTCATGTCCACCCAATGCCAATGGCAGTGGCACCTTTTCAGCTTTCTTCTCATTTGATGGTTTGGTCAAAATAGTCATTTTTTCTGCAGCTTAAAGCAGTTAAATGGATTTTATATTAAACTTTTCGACTAATTATTTTTAAAATTTTTTATTTTGTAATTTTTCCAGCTGATTCAGAATTACAGCACTTTTTTCCAAAGTAATTTTGCGTTTTAACTTCTTTACTCTGCAACGAAAATGTGAATACAGAGAATTCAAAAACAATAAAGAAGAAAAACAACGATAATAGACACGAATGAGTTCAGGGTTTCAAGTAACCAGGTGAATACATTTTTTTGTCTAAATAAAATTATCAAATGCTTATATCCTATTGAAATAGTATTATCGAGATTATCTAGTAATATTTAATACGAGTTCTGAAAGGCCACTGTCTGATATGACGACACGCGGCTAGACTATGCGCTCCCTACAGAAGATGTTGCATGAGCTGAGCAGGGCTAGGCTTCGCAATTAATTTTGGGATCCTATTGCTGAATGGCGGCCGGGGTGGCCGAGTGGTTAGCATTGCGCACTGCAATTCGGAAGGCTCGGGTTCAAATCACCGTGCGACCAATATCCCAATGTTAAAGAAAATTAATTTAAATAAAATATTAGGTTGAATTTTCTAATTGCGGCCGCCCCTCGGTACGGAATGTCAACCCTTTGCAACATGAAATAAAAACGCCTCATAAAAACCATTAGCCGTTCGGAGGCGGCTTAGTATAAGTAGTGCATAGGTCCCTCCATTTGTTGGAAAAACATCAAAACGCAAAACCACAAATTGGAGGAGGAGTTCGGTGGAAAATTTCTTCAGCGGTTACAAAGCGCCAATTATATACATTGCTGAATGGTCTATCGAGGGTAGCTGACGACAAATTCATAGATACAGTGAGGTATGTCGAGACAAGGCCAGAAACACTAATAAATACATCTGTTGAAATAATTTTCAGCGGCATTGAGAAAAAAGGTAAATTACCATGGAACGTTATAGACTGATATATATGATTTCCCCCTCCCAGATCATTCTTAAAAGCGCGGAGAACTTTACTCAGTACGGAAGGTACAATAAACGAATGGTCTCAGGGCCGATCCTCTTCATTCTCAACGTACCTATCTATTTTTCTCGTGTTCTTTAGTTTTGACGAGTTAGTTTTCATCTCCTATAATCTTGTATACGTAAACGCTAGTTAATAATTACTTTCTTAGCGACCAATATAATACATCACTGCGTTAATACCGAAAGATCGTGTTTAATTTTTTGTATTTGTTTACTAAAATCAATAACATTGGAAACTGTCAAAGTTGTCAAATAAGGGTGCAACTTGGTCGATTGGGTGACGATGCCTGCGTATATAGGCCGTGGACAGTAAAACAATTTTGTAAAAATTCAAAAAACAATGCAAATTAAGGACGAAAGTAATCTGTGACTAAATTTCCTGACATGTTGCCAACATTGACCACTTATAATCGATTGGATGGTCCGAAACCTTTATTTCGCATTCCTTTCGGAAGGATTGCTATAACAGTAGTGAGTTTGCCACTTAGTAGTTTTATATTCTGTGTAATTTGGTCGCTGCTCTTTGAGTTTGAACGTTCAACTTCAACGCATTGTGATGTACCTAATTATTTACCCTCCATATCGGCAGCCATTGGAAATTATGATCCTCAGAAAACCGTTTGGCGTTTGGCAATTACATTACAATTGCCAGCTCGCTTAGCCGTTTCAAAAATGTATATGCAGTATTATAAAGATACGATAAGGCGTAGTCGACGTACACTCGCCGTAATTGCTTGCCTATTAAATATGATTGAGAATTTTGCACTACTAAGTCTGTCACTATGGACATCGATGGATAATTACCCGATTCATCGCAACTCCTTTGTTGTTTTTATTGCCTGTAGTGAGATCTACATGCTTATCTCTTACTTCCTCATTAAAAATGGACGAAAGGTTCCGCTTCTGCCAATGGAAGAAAAATCGTTGTTATACAAAAGAAATTTGTTTATAATAAACGTTACAGCCTTTATTTTGGCTGGGTATTGTTTTATGCGACATAATTCGCTGTGTGAGCCGGGTGGTAAGTAGTTTAGTGTCAAATTTAAATAACCTATAATATTTATAAATTTCTATATCTCTCATACAGTTTATACATTCTTTGCGCTTTTCGAATACGTCGTGGTTCTGACGAATATGGCCTACCATATGACATCATATTGGGATTTTCATGCTATGCATGTTACATTCGACTGGGAAAGAGGGCTTTATTTATCACAATTTTAATTAAGTAAAAATTCTTAGAATACATAAATATTTTTTTTTACTTTATCATGTTAGTAAATAGTAATATGCGATTGTAAAACTGAGTGTACTATAATTTTAAGTCAAAAAAATACTTAACTTTACAAATGAAAGCTTATTTTTTACGCAAACTTATACGAATTTAATGCACGCTCAAAACAGTACACATGTGTACAATCTATGTACGTAATATTTTGCTCAAAACACTTAAAAAGTACGCAAGTAGATAGCTAATTCAATAAAACAAGCTGAGATATTAAATATATGTTAATGTTTTTTTATAAAAGTATTTTTTATTTTTCGTTCATTGCAACAAATACACAGCCATGTTAGAAGAATCTACAATTGATGTACATAATCAAAATATATTTTGTTTTACTATGTTTCGTAAATTCGAACTAAGTCATCCACTGTAATTTGATATCCAGTCACTGGACATGTGGAATGTTCTTTTAGATGTGAGATTATACATCTCCAACAATATACATATCCAGATATACTACATGCTGTGGGCGTATCAATTTTCATAAGACATACCGGACAATTACCTTTTCGTGTGTCGTTATCTTTCAAATTGACGGGATCACCTTTATATGGTATTGGATTTTTTAAGGTTCCACCAATTTTCCGACGTTGGTCATTCGAATACCACCACTGTATAAATTGAAGGAAAAATGCGAAAACTTCTAGTAATTTTAGAAAGACGTATGTAGTCTTATCGTCCTTGGGAGGTTCAATAGGGTAACGCAGTGTCAATCGTAATGCTCGGAAGATGGGGGAGTGACTCCCTGCGTATTTTATTAGGTATAGAAATGTATGTATTGCTTTCGAGGCATGATAAGCATGAAACATATTTAGTAAATGTCGTTCCCAAATTGATACTTCTGTATGATTGGCACTACGTGTTTTTAGCTTACGCTCAAAGTAAGGCATAAATGTTAATATGCTAGCAGATGTAAATTGATGACCTCGCGATAATATTTCACCTGTATTGCTATCTGTACGTTGTAAGCCATAGAAACTTTCTCCAAACGATGAACCACGATTGCGGAGATACAGAAATTGTAGTGCCCATGTTAAAAAGGGTGACAATTCTTCTTGTAATCGGTAAGGACCGAAAAGCTTAAAGTCCAAACGAAGATTAAGGTAATCAAATATTTTACTCAGTGCCGGGTATATAAGCGAATCAAGAGTTTCGGCAGCAGTGATTTCAAATATTGAAGGTACATTTTGTAGATTCTGACGTAAATTTGCACTCTCGGACATTTTTTCTGTTTCAAAAGAAAATTAAATCTTCCAATGTTTTTAAACAATTTAAGATACAATAGTTGTTTACAAAATAATATCGATAAATTAAATTTGAAAGCATTTAAGGCTTAGATACACGTCTGTAAAAGTTAATAAAATATTGAACTGATTTAACAAAAACAATTCCATTATATTATAACATCCAATCAAAGTCATGTTATCTTGCTTGGCTAATAATTTTAAGTTTAATAACTTCATTAGTTTCGTTTTTAATAGGCAAGTAGTGTTTGCTTTCTTTAAATAAATTTTAGTGTTGTCTGGTATAAGATTTAGCCTATTTTGTTTTGATTTGTCAGCTGATTTCGATAAGTTAATACAAATATTATATAAGACAACGATTTATTCGTAATTCGCATAGTAATTAAGAATGCATTACCAATAATTGATGTAGTTCGCTCTCAAAATTTCGTGCTAAACTTTCGATAACGAAAAATCGTTGCTCGGTTATTTGTAATACACATCCCTAGTTGTATATAAATAATATCCTTTGATAAGGTTTTAGTTTTGTTACTGAATGAAATCTTCTTATTTTGGAGAAATACGTGAAAGCTCATTATGAAAGCAAATACTTTTAACTCGACAGAAGACTCAGCCAAAGTTCCACTAAATAAATCTAATAAAAAGTCCACGAAGTCTCGTAGCAAATCTTCAAAATCAGAAGCAACCGGTGCCAGTGGAAGTGTAAAAAGTGCAAATTGCATGAATAATTATCAAACAAGCATAACAGCAGGTAGCATTGCAACAACGCCTACAACTCCAACAACTAGTAACCCGGGTAATTTGTTTGATACATCTTTGAACACAATCACAAATGGTGGCGGTATTGGTACAGATGCAAATAACAGTTCAAAGGCAAGTATACAGTACTTATATATGTACATATATCTCCAGTTTATAAACAATATATATATGTATAATGCCTCGACAGAGTCATGCAAAAAGTTACGCTGGATTAGAAGGACGCTCAGTGAAAATTATTTGGGAACAACATGATCAGAGTGATTTGGAATTATCGCCAGAAGTGTGTGCTCGTGTCGCTGAAGATGTCTCATATAAATTGTGGGAACTGGTAAACGTAAGTTTTTCAAATTGTATACATATCGCCATTTGACAAATTTAATTGTTTTTCTTAGAATATAAAAACGTATGCTCGGCATTCTGGTGGTAATGTAACATACGATTTGGTGAATGAAGTGCTTGCTGACGCGGACGTACCACCGGCACTGGGCGCAATGGATAGTGAATGGGATCGCATTGACTATGATGGCAGCTACTTTTTCTATTCAGTAAGTTTTCCATTAAAGATAATCAGATTTTTTTTTGATACACTGTTATTTTATAGGATAGAATTGTGGAGCTTCGTGACGAGTATCAAAAAGAAGTGAAAATGGAAATTTCCGATGGTCCTGATTATGAATGTACATGGCCCATTGATGAAAAACAAAATGAATTGAGCAAAAAATTTGTAATTAGCTTAATGAAAGGTAAAAAACGTTTATCCTCCCATATCTTTTGTGGTATATGGTTTTAATATTTATATTGGCAGTGGTTCTGCACGGTAATGAGGAAGACATAGATACTGCACTCTCTGAAGCTGCATTTTCTCCACTTCTCGGCGCTTGTTATCGTGTTATTCTATCAAAGCTCATACAAATATTAGCATTTAAGCAGAATGATGACATCAGTTTGCGGTGTTGGCGCTTATTACGTTCCTGTTCATGTAATACACACGCCCGATTACAAAATGTTCGAGTGGAATACTTTCATTTATCGGAAATACTTATCTCACAACTACTTGCCCCATACGAAAGTATTAAAGTACATTCTGATTCGAAACCCGAAGAGCAAAGAAATGTTTGCATAAAAACAGAAGTAGAAGAGGAGAAAGCGGATGAAAAAATAGAAGTGAAAACCGAATTTGTGGATCAATCTGATATTTTTAACTCGCAAAATACGAGTGAAGAGAAAGTATATAAATTGCAAAATGACGTTGACAATGAGGGTGATGTTGAAATGCGAGCTGAGATATCGCCTTATTTCGCTAGTCCCGTTAATTGGAACCATGTGGATGAATTGTGTGATATAATTGGACATTTGGCCACATCGAATGGTTTTTTCCAAAAGGAATGTATATTTCATATTATCAGAAGACTGCAAAGATTTTTCGATGGACGATGTGTCTCAACAGAAAGAGGTGATTTATATTGAACTGTTGTTGAAACATCCTTATAAACAAATACATGTTTATATTTTTTTATAAAGATTTTAAATACTTAAGTCGTGCTTTGCGTGGCTTGGTTGCTTTGGGCGAATATGCCTTTCGTGAGTTCATACCATTTATTTATAAATTTAATGTGGATGATGTACCTGAGAGCTTTTGGAATGACTTTTCGGTAAAAATATATTTAAATTTTGTTTTCTTCTTTTGTACTTGACTAAAAATACTTGAACTTTAGATTAGCGCTGTCTTTGTAAATGGCCCTGACGACATCTTTCTTTATGAGTGGCTTGAGTTTTTATGCGGTGCTGATAAGCTACAACCTTTTTTAGTATATTATGCACGTATGTTCATTACTCTTTTATATGCATTTGGAAAAATTTATATACAATTTTTTACTTTATAGAATATTTTGAGAAATTTCTCACGATGCGCTTTTTGCGGCGAAAAGTCGGTTCGTTTAAGATATATTCCAAACCTGGTGTACGTCGCTTAGAGTGGAATACCTTAGCTGCTGCTATGTGTCACGGGGATGATCCTAACAAAGCACTGAAACCCAAACCCAAAATCGAAGAGGTTTTCCCTGATTTAGTATCACCAAATCTTCAATTGAATCGTGCTGGAAATATACGATTCAAATTTGCCGGCTGTCGTCCAGTAATAATTAAGTCTAAGGGGGCTACAAATACCACAAAAACGAGTTCAGAAACTAATACCTCGAATATTTTAAGTGGGCACAATGATATACTCATAGCGCGGCGTAAACTATTTAAGCCATTAACAAATGAACGTCGTATTGTACCACTTAGCAGTTATTATTATGTAAGAATATAGTTATTTATCAATCCCAGTGATTTTCGTAAGTATTATAAGCATTAAAAACAGAAGAGCCCACATAAAAACAAAAAAATATTTTTATTACACTAAAATGCTTCTTCTTCAGGTAATACCATACCTGCAGCTTCCATATCTTTCATAATTCGTTTGTTTATAATATTTTTAATATTCGCATTGACATCAGGCAACAAACCTCCGGTTCGGGCAGCATGTTCAATACGTTGCACCACTTCGACTTCCCGTCTTGAGGATATGAAATTTGTAACCAACGATGGTTTCAAATTACCCACACGTCCAATACGCCCACAGCGATGTATATAGTCGGAGACATGCAGGGGAAAATCGAAGTTGATTACATGTCGAGCGTTTGTAGTGTCCAGTCCGCGGCTACCGACATCAGTGGTAGAGAGCACGTCGTAATTTCCTTCCTGGAACCGCTCAAAACGTCCAACACGTATTTTCATAAGCATATCCCCGTTTAGATTTACACTACGCACACCATTATTGTTCAGAAAAATATCTACAAAATCACTTGTAGCTGATTTGTTGCTGAATACTATAGTTGGTTGCCTTTTTGCAATATCTTTTTTGACTAGATTTAACAAAGTGGTGGGTCTGCTTTGTTTAGACATACGCAAAAATCGTTGTTCGATATGTGGCATCAATTTATGCAAATTTGGACTGGAAACTTCGTGCAGAGTTTGAACATCTATCACTTTTTGTAAAATTTCTTCAGTGTTTGTGGGCATAGTCGCTGATGCTAATATTAGCTGTGTGCCTACAATTTGCTCATCCTGTGTATGATTTTTGTGGAACTGTTTTAAAAGAAATAGTAACATAATGCAATTATACATGAAATGATAAAAAAATTTGAAACTTTACCGGGAAACGGCGCAAAAAATAGCCCAGTTTATCAGAAAAGCTATCATCCAAAAGAGTATCTGCTTCATCTAGCACGACATGTCGTACATTTTCCATACGATAAACGCCCGTTGTAACAAGTTTACTCAAAGCACCTACTGTTGAAACTAATATGTCAACATCTGAGAACTCTGGATTAACCATCAGACGTTTAGTGTTTCCTCCTAATATAGTTTTAATCTGAACATCGGTATCTTCACACAACTTTTCTGCAACTACGCCAATTTGTGCTGCCAACTCACGACCTGGTGTAATAATAACAGCTAGTGGTGTATTATATTTTCGTTTATTTTGTTGTGCTTGTTTTCGTTCGATAACACGCTGTAGAATGGGGAGCATATATGCAAGTGTTTTGCCGCAACCAGTTTCTGCTGCGATCAACACATGATGACTATCATAGACTTTCGAGATAGCCTTACTTTGAATGCTAGTAAAGGCTGTTATATTTAGGACATTCCTTAGGTTTTCCAGAAGTTTTTCATTTAAACAAATATTAGTTTCTTTGAGATATTCTTCGATTTCTTGCATTTCAGCCAGAATATCCTGCTTACTTACACTCGCATTAAATATCATTAGATCGTCTTTTGATTTGTAGTGCTTCCAACCGCTGGTTGCTAACGGTATTGTGCCAAATTCACTGTCTTCGGGTGCTGGTACATATAAGTTGAACTGTGAACGTTTGCAGCTAATTAATGGTTTCTGTTTTGGCTTCTGTATCTGTTTAGGTTTAATGACAGTTGCTGCCGCCGTTGCATACAACCGGAAAATTCCGAAAACAGCGTTAGTTTTACTTGTTTGTAACATATTTATTAAGTAATACCGGCAATGATAACAAACCTATCTAAATCGCGTGAAACAAAATCAGCTGTGCTGGAGATGAGCAGCATAAGTTAGTGAAATCGATCATTTTCATAGAGTTGCCGTACCCCTGTTGCTTATACCCTTAACCCTTCGAGCTCGATCACAGGATTATTAAGTAATACGGCATTTCCACGACAGCCCAATTACGCGTTTCGCTCGTTCAATTACGATTGCGAATTACCCCCATTCACACGGCACGCAGTTTGACAGTTTTCGGTTTTGCTTGTTTGCTCCATTTGAAAACGTATGTAAAATTAAAGATTTTAGTAGAAGTTTAGAAAATTTTGAATTTAATTAGTAATGTTATGCCAGTTTTTTTAATAATTTCTAATTTTCGTCGATTTGGTCGTAATTTGCATGGTAATTGAGAACGAATTATCCACTTTTACTGTAATTCGCTCACGAAAATTTTTTTGGCGAATTAAATAATTCGGCATGTATTTGGAGTGCGAGTTATGTTTGAGAGAGCGAAACATGTAATTGGTCTGTCGTGGAAATGCCATATAAAAGTTACCAAATTTCTTGTACATTTTCTCAATTATAAAAATTAAGAATTTTAAACAATTTTGGTTCTTTTGAAGTACTTGGGACACCAAAAGGTAATTATTCAGGACAGCGGCTTTGCTAAAATGATGTCCAAAATGATGGCAATTTTGCCAAATGAGGTGTATTTGATGATTATCTTTTCATTAAAAATGAAATACACTCGGAGGGGCTGACATTTCCTGCCGAACTGCTCCTTAAAACGAATTTTTGCCGAAAAAAGTACGATAGCTTCGCTAGTTAGGTAGGAGAGATCACGTAACAGCCAGTTTTAGGTACTTTACTTGCCGAGCTCTTAAAACACAGCGACGTGGAACTACTACTGTGATGTGATTTCCTCAGTCTACAAGGTCTGAGAAAAAACTGAATTCTCATGAATCAGAAATTGTTACTTTGCTGTTGTGTTTACCACAGTTTCCACTTTTTAATAAACCTACCGTAGCTCCACATTTTCCATGTCTCTTTCTTCGTTATCACTGTAACTCTGTGTGTCCTTTTCATAGCTTGCTTTACTTTTTGGGGAATGCTGCGGGAGTGGCAGTCCTTGGCCGGATAAAAATTCTGATCGTTCCGGTGTAAAGACCCGACTGTCGCGGGAACTATTGGATTTTAGTCGCCTCTTACGACAGGCATGCCTTACCGCTGGTAAATTCTTGAGCCCCTAACCCGCATGGGGGTAAATACTACTCCTCAGCTTACACGCTTCGATAAACCACATGCTTTCACTTTTAAATGCTTACAACTGATAGTTGAAGAAAATCAATATTGGCTATAAATAATAAAGGTTGACACTAAAGCCAAATCAATAACACCGTTTTTTCTTCTCGTTGTCCGGATGCAATTCGAAATACCATGTGGAACTAAACCACTCTCCATCTGATGTACCTAACAGAGTGGATGTAGTCCTCTTCCTATGCTTGCATCAGCTGCTGCTGCAATACTTTCAAAGCTGCAGTGCTTCCAACCTTTTGAGTGCCTTAACCTAGCCAGCTGTCTTTTATTCAATTAAATATGTCAATGTCGTCTGCAGTACCGTTCCCAATGTGGTTCGAAGAACCTTTCACTCGTAAATTTCGAACGTCAACATTTCAGATGTCGTCTTCGGTGAGATCACCCCAACATATAGGAGGACAATAATATTGAGTGGCTTATCGAGTTTAATTGATTCTGCGTTGAACTTCGAATATGACGTTGTTATTAGGGTCAATGCTGTTTCCTAGATGGACGAAGTTGTTCCCGATTTCAAAGTTATAATTTTCAAGGGATTCGTGAATACACGCGAGTACGAGATATTTCGTACTGTCATCGCTCATTAACAGTCTTGAGAAAACAGCTCTGTAGCTCGTATTATATATGTCAGCAGTAAATTTAAGAAGTAGCACCGTAAGGAATACTCTGAAATCGCTTTTAGTATCAAACGACTCGGAGAGGTTCAGTCTAATGCTGACGCGGCTTCAGCGTCAGTTTACATAGTAGTAGCCAATTGGTTAGCATTGCGTACTGTCTTTCTAATGAAGGCGAGGGTTCGAGTGCTGGTTCGGCAAACCTCCAATATGATAGCATATTAATTTTCCTAATTGCGGCCGCTCCTCGACAAAAAAATGTCAAACTCTCCGAATGCATTTTTGACGTAAAATGTAAAATTCATCGTCCGATCGGAGGCGACTTTCAACTATACGCAATACGCAATCCCACAAGGATCGATTAAGTGCCAAATATATATATATATATATATGTTTTGCGGGATACCTATTTCAGACATAGCGATATAAGAGCAGCTTCTTTTCGTGCGTCGAGAATGTGATGAGTGGCGATCTCCTCCAAGATTAGATGTAAGTTGACTATGTGTACAATGATGGATTTGCCAGGCCTGAACCCACTCTTGTAAAGTCTACCCATTATACTGACGATGGGTTTTAATCTTTCACACAATATGCTCGATAGGACATTATAAGCGATGTTGCTGAGACTTTAGATCCTACGATGCAGACTGTGGATCGATAAAATTTAATTTTAATCCAGTACAGACCGACCATTATTATCTATGAGCTTTTGCCATATATGTTTATAATTCCATCCTTTTCAATTGAACAAATTTTTTACCATCAAAAGAGTTTTACAGAGAGCCAAACTATTGGTAGTCAGATGGCACAAGCGATATCGTGAGAGCATCAAAAATTCTCAATCAAGCTGCATTCATGTTTCCTTGGTCACCAAAGATATGCGTAGTTTGGCGGTGTCAAGATAAAACACAACATCTTTTATTTTCAGCTAGTTGTAAGTCGGTTAAATATTCCCACCCTACTTTAAGCATCCACTTGTTTGTCTTTAGTTCAGGCCTTGAAGTCATTTGTGACCATCGCCCGTGATAAGTGGCTTTAGAAATGGTTTGATATTTTCTCGTTTTAGAAGCATTTCTCTGACGGTAACCTGGTCAACGATATTTTTAATTCAAATGGTACCCAATCATCGAGTAGTAAACCTTTTTTAAATGATTCCAAACTGTAACGTGAGTGATGCCTGACGCCTATTAGATTGATGTGCGTCTTTGACATCGAAATTTCCCATTTTGGGACAAACTGTACTAGTTTGAGACTGATATATTTCTGATTGTGAATAGATCCTTTGCCATCTCGTAGGATATCTCCGTGTTAAAAATTACAAAATATTCACATAGAATTTAGGCAGTTGGATGACTAGTTCAAAGTAGTTTTCGATCAGTTCTTTTGATTGCAAAGTACTTCAATTATGTATCTAAGAGGTGTGTTCAAAAAGTATCGCGAATTTTGAATTTTCGCGAGTTACGTATAATCGTATTTCGATTTTTTTATGGCGTTATGTTGGTACTCATGTCTGTCACTTATGCCGACCAGCTCGGTCATTGAATGTTCACTTAATTGTTGACAGCTGCTTTGCTTGCACGTGTTTTGGATGTTCTTCGATTTTTACCTATTCAAAAAAATGGATCAAAGAACCTGTATCAAATTTTGTGTGAAAAACGAAATTAAGTGCGCGGATGCATTCTGACTGTTGACTGTGGCATACGGAGAAGCTACCTTGGACCGAAGCAAGGTTTATCGGTGGTACAGAATGTTCTCAGAAGGCCGAGAAGATCTGAACGACGAAGAGCGTGCCGGACGCCCGAGCACTTTAACAACAGACGAAAAAGTTAATTGTAGGGGCGTGGTGCATCCTGAGTTCTTTCCACAGAGTAGAGCAGTCAATAAGGAATATTACCTGCAAGTTATGCGCAATTTGCGCGAAGCAATCCGCCAGAAACGCCCGGATTTGTGGAAGAACAAAAATTGGCTTTTGCACCACGATAACGCCCCTGTTCACCCATCGTTGCTTGTGCGCGACTTTTTGGCCAAAAACAACACACTAATGATGCCGCAGCCACCGTATTCCCCAGATCTGGCCCCCTGTGACTTTTTCTTGTTCCCTAAACTGAAGAGGCCCATGAAAGGACGACGTTACGCTACGATTGACGAGATAAAGACGGCATCGAAGGAGGAGCTGAACAAGAAAAAAAAGGATTTTTTGAAGTGCTTCGATGATTGGAAAAACTGTTTGCACAAGTGTATAATATCTCATGGGAATTTCTTTGAATAAATAATTTTTGAAAAAACACGAAAATCGTGATATTTTTTGAACACACCTCGTATGTATGCATGCATGTGAGACTGCATTAATTAAGACATTCATAAATATATATTCGTTTGTACCACTTTAGAAGTAGGCAAATTATAGACATATAATAAGATTTTAATTAATTTGCCAGGCTCTTAACGAAACCTCCCATATAATAGTTTAATACATACGTACATACATACACATTTACTGCGTGAAAAGTTTAATTTCCAATATTTATTCTAGGTGATTCTTGAAGTGAATAAATAAATAAGCAATTCAATAGGATTATTTTGACAATGCTAATGAGTGTTATTCAACTGCAGATTGTAAATTTGTGAAAGTAATTAGAGGAGGATGATTTTAGTAGAACAAATTAAGATTGAAGTGTTGAAATGAAATATACATATAATATACATATTATTATGATTAAATGCTTCTTGCTACTGATCTCGGCTACACAAATACATGTGTATATTCATGTTGATAAAATGAAGCAGTAAATGGTGAAACTGCAATACGAGTAGAGCTCTCTAACGAGCATTAAAGGCTTTAGTTTAATTTAGACTTAATTAAATGTTGATTTTAAATATTTTAATTGATAGTATTTACATATGATGGATTCTACTTCCGTTTGTTTGATGACTGGAGATACATCATATTGGATTGCTTCGCTATTAGACCCAACAACTTTGATTCCCGTTTTTATAAGGGTGTTCTTTTGAGACGTGTGGTTTCCAATGAGGCAATGCTTTCTTTGCAGTTGGTCTTTTTGACAACTGTTATTTCTTTAACACTCAGTTTGGATTGCCAATATAATGAACAGACTATTTTCGGAACGACGACCAATATT